TAGGCCCGAAACGTCAGCCTCTCTGCTCCTATGATGCTGCTTGGCCTGCTGTGTTCATCCAGCCCTGCACCTTGTTATCCCCTAAAAAGCATTAGTGAACCAGATGAATTTTTCCCCCCACCTCCCTCTGACAGTTGATGATGGGTTAATGGTCATCATTCGATTTTTAATCGCAGATATTTATTGAATTCAAATTCCACCATTTGCCATGGTGGGAGTTGAACCTGGGTCCCCAGGACATTATCTGGGTCTCTGGATTAACAGTCCAGTGATAACACCACCTCCCCAGGTACCGCTTCTTCAGTTACAATTCTCAGAAAAATAGAGAAGTAAAAAAGTCCGGCATTGCAGATTCAGAAATAAATTATAAAATGGAGAAGAAAAGGTTCAGAACAATAGTCTTCTGACCGAGACCATGTTTGCACCTTGCCTCCAGGCCGCACCGCACCTTAACTCCAGACTGTGCCTTGTGTCAGGGTTCAGTGTTGGAGCACTGCTCTGATTTCACATTAGACCCAATCCCCAGGCTTTTCCCCGCAGCGCTGTGCATGTTTTCTCTTTGGAGAATTCTCAAATACCTCTTCTGAAAGCAGTCATCCTGCACACTCTCGGGCAGCACAGACTAAACCATTGTTGCAGCAAGAAGCTTTCTCTCTGGGGACCCTGGTTCTCCAGTGAGCTCGAGCTCAGGATGAGGAACTGTGCCAAGTGGAATTAAACAGCTCATTTTAACCCAGTGACTGCTCTACATTATAAAGGCACAGAGATAAATGGCCCGGCCAGTGATATCCACATCCTGTGTATTAATATATCAAAAAAAAAACACAGCAAGCCGTATGATACTGTGGGGGCAATGTTCCTTCTGCCCGTTTCTGCTGGAAGTGACCTGGTTGTTGCATTGAACAGACCCTTTAAGGCAGAGATAGTAAGAGCTTGGAGTGGATTTGAAACCAGTTTAAAATCTCCCCACCCCCGGCCTCATCCCATGACGAGCCCTCCTTCTCATCCCCGGCTCCTTGACCTAGCACAACCTGCCCATCTTCTCTCCCACTTATCTGCTCCTCCCACCTCACTGACCAATCCCCACCAGTCCATACCTGCACTCACCTATCACCATCCCACCTACCTTCCCCAGCCCCACCCCTCGTCTCTCTATTTATTTCAGAGCTCCCTTCCCCCTTCCCATTTCTGAAGAAAGGTCCCGACCCAAAACTTTTCCTGTTCCTCTGATGCTGCCTGGCCTGCTGTGTAGACACTTTAATGTGATCACGAATGGAATACTGGCTGTGCCTAGCTGTGCCTACTGTGAAAAATTCCAAATTGTTGCGTGGTCTGTAATGTCACCTTGACCAGGAAGCAGCAAACTCCCTGAAATTCTGCAAACAATGCGAGGGTTGTGTGAGGAAAAGAAGCAAGTAGTTAGGGTCAGGAGTGCACTGCCTGGAAATGTGGTGGAGGCATTGGATGGTTTGTTTTGGATGGAAATGTTGTGCTGGGATATGGGGGAAAGGACAGTGGATTGGCACTAGGTGATAGAGCCAAACCAGGTAATATACCCACTGAGGAATCATGGGCTGAATGGCCTGATTCTGCACCATAATAATTCTGTGATCCACTCAGGAAGGTAGTAAGTATTTCATACATTCTGGTGGTCAATTAAGGTTGGGCAATGAATGCTGGTCTAGCTTGCGATGCCCATATCCCATGAACATAAACAAAATTCACCCAAAAGTCCACATCTGTCAGGAGATGGCAGGAAGGTGGGAAGTGCTTTCTGTTTCCCATCTTTTACTCAAGAGTTGTGCAGGTCTTGCTTTCCAGCTGTGACTGCCACTGGCTCTGCAGGATAGTGTTTGTAGTTAGCAATCAGAAGGCTGTAGGTTCAAGCCCCACTGCAGAATCTTTTGGATGTGAAGGTGCTGTGTCAGCCACAATCATATTGAATGGCTGGAAGGGCTGAATGGCCTCCTTTCTCCCCCTGTGTTCTGAGTGTATTTTGCTCTCGTTTGCAGATGATGTTGCCAGTGACCAGCAGCAATGACCTCTTTAACCAGCCTCCCCCACTCTTCCCCACTCTGAAGACTTACACCATACAGCCATTCCTGCAGGAGAATAAGGTAGGTACATCAGCTCAGAATCGGGGATTGTGGGACTGAATGTCAGGAAGTTGTGCCCTCAATCCCTGAGAGAGAACTTCAGTAAGGATCAGCTGAAAACTTTCTGCTTCTCTGAGTGTTTGATGGGGACAGTGTAGAGAGAGCTTTACTCTGTATCTAACCCCGTGCTCTCCCTGTCCTGGAAGTGTTTGATGGGGACAGTGTAGATGGAGCTTTGCTCTGTATCTGACCCTGTGCTGTCCCTGTACTGAGAGTGTTTCATGGGGACAGTGTAGAGGGAGCTTTACTCGGTATCTGACCTGGTGCTGTCCCTGTACTGAGAGTGTTTGATGGGGACAGTGTAGAGGGAGCTTTACTCGGTATCTGACCCTGAGCTGTCCCTGTCCTGGGAGTGTTTGATGGGGACAGTGTAGAGGCAGCTTTACTCTGTATCTAACCCCGTGCTGTCCCTGTCCTAGGAGTGTTTGATGGGGACAGTGTAGAGGGAGCTTCACTCTGTATCTAACCCAGTGCTGTCCCTGTCCTGGGAGTGTTTCATGGGGACAGTGTAGAGAGAGCTTTACTCTGTATCTAACCCCGTGCTGTCCCTGTCCTGGGAGTGTTTGATGGGACATTCTCTCGAAACCTGGCCTCTTGACCATTCTGGAGTTCCCTCATGGCAGTGTGCCTTCTGCTGCCTGGATCCAAAAGTCTAGAATTCCTTTTTTTATATCTCTGTGCCTCATGATTGCTCTCTCTGTCTCTCCCCGCTGTCAAGATGCTCCAAACCATGCTCTGTCTTCATGTGGCCCAGTGTGAACTCTAGCCAAGAGGTTGCTGTGAAGAGCGTTTGTGATGTTTTACTCTGTCAGCAACACAGTTGAAATGCGCATTGTCAGTGAGGATGGTGCAGTGTAAAAGTTTGAGTCTGTCTTCCCGTTACAGAAAGCTTTGTACACCATGTGCAGAGAGCTCCACAGTGCCAAGTTCCAGGAGAAGGATCAAGCTGATGTTTACCCTGATCTTATTGCAGACAGGTAAGGCTATGGCTTTCCTGCAGTCATTCCTGACAGACTGTGCAGTTTACATAAAATCTACTGCCTTCTTAAAATGAAAAGTTTGTAATCCTCAGGAGTTCATTATCCAAATGCAGTCTCTGATGAACATTGGTCATCAGGACAAAATTCCAAATAATGTGGAATTTGAAGTGGAATTGTGTCCCGTTTGAAGAATCTTGGGTGTAGGGGTCATCAATCCCAATGATGTCCAACTTCTGTGTCCTCTCCATAGTAAGTGGCCAATTAGCAGGCTGCCTCTGGGAGCTCCAGCCAATCAGGATAATGGGCAGGATCAGCTGGCAGAAAGGCCATTCAGTGTGTTCCCTCCTCCCCCCCAACACCTCTGAGGTTATGGAAAGCCATAACCCAATGGGAGAAGGGAGAAGGGAAAAGGTGGGGGGTGGGGGGAGGCAGAGGTGGTACTGCTGCTCTAGGTGGGAACCCATTGGGGCACCACAAGAAGGAACCCCTCTCCCTGACGATGCCGTGTCATTTTTAAAGTTCTGTGGCCAGGGATGGAAAGGATGGTGTTGGGCCCCAGCTGTGACCCTCTGACAGAGGGAACTCAGATGGAGGAGGTGATGGTCAGGTGGTATTATCGCTTGCCTGTTAATCCAGAGACCCAGGTAATGTTCCGGGGACCTGGGTTTGAATCCTGCCATGGCAGATGGTGGAATTTGGATTCAAGAAAAAAAATCTGGAATTAAGAGTCTAATGATGGCCATGAATCCATTGCTGATTGTTGGGAAAAACCCATCTTGTTGACTAATGTCCTTTAGGGAAGGAAACTGCCATCCTTACATGGTCTGGCCTAATGTGACTCCAGACCCACAGCAATGTGGTTGACTCTGAACTGCCCTCTGGGCAATTAGGGATGGGCAATAAATGCTGTCTGGCCAGCGATGCCCTCAACCCGTGAATAAATAAAGAAAAAAATCCTCTGAGGGTGGGTGTAGGATATATAGGAGGTCTCCCTGGACCCCGAGTCAGCTACTGGGAGTCATCCTCCAGACATTAGAGTGGGTACTGCTCACAAGCAGCAGGGTCCGCTCAGCATCACCAATCTGTGCCAAAGGGCACTTAATTGATAAGTAGTAACCCATCGCTACCAGCTGGTCAGTCTCTGCATTGGACAAGATCGCTCCCAATTCTCGAAATCTTGTCCCAAACTAGGCTCCAAAACTATTCATACTACACCGGGACGATTCCTCCCAGTAATTGCCATCCACTCTATCCAGTTGCAAGTAATGTTGAAACTCTTGCCTTTCCAATCTCTCCACATAACTCTCATCTCCTGTGTTCCCTGCACCAATAAAAGGAACATATCACAGAATCCCTACAGTGCAGAAACACACAGGCCCTTTGGTCCAACAAATCCACACTGACCCTCTGAGGAGCAACCCACCCAGACTATTCCCCCACCCTATCCCTGTGACGCTGCATGGCTAACCCACCCACCCTATACACTCATGGACACTTTCCTATGGCCAATCTACCTAGCCTGTATGTCTTTGGACTGTGGGAGGAAACAGGAGCACCTGGAGGAATTGAACCTGGATCCCTGGTGCTGTGAGGTAGCAGTGCTAACCACTGGGCCACCGTGTGCAGGCTTCTTGAATTTAACAAAGGAGTCAGGGACAAGAGCACCCTGCTGTAATCTCCAGGACACAACTTCAACCAGCCTTGCCAACCGGTCAGTGCACTGTTACTTTTGCAGTATAAATTGTTGTTCCCTTTGAAATATGCCATTGTCCTGATGAGTGCAAAATATAAAGTTTTGACGCATCTCTGTTTTTTTTCTGATCCTGGAAGACCATATTGACAGTTTTTGAAAGGCTTTAATTTGTTTGGATCTGGTTGCTCACGTCCAGGTTCCTGGGCCATTTCCTGGCTTTGTCTCCCGACTATTGCTTCGTGCTGGAGGACGAGGACGGGGTCTGCGGCTGTGTGTCGGGAGCCCTGGAGGTCCGCTCGTTCCTGAAGGGGTGTGAGGCAGCTTGGTTTCCTGCCATGCAGGAGAAATACTCCAAACCTACGGCCCTCCATAACCTCACTCCAACACAGGTGAGCGCTCGAAGGTTTCTGAGAGATGGAGCAAAGTGGAAAATGATTGGTGGTGGGGTCTTAGGAGTAGGGGTAGGCCTTTTGGCCCTCAGGCCTGCTTGGCCTCAAACTCACTTTCCTGTCTCCCCTCCTCTCGACCCTTAACCTCTCTTTCAGTGAAAGATCTGTCGAGCTCAGCCTTAATAATATTTAATCGCCCAGCCTCCACTTCTCACTGTAGAAAGGAATTCCACAAATCAGCAACCTGCAAGAGATGAAATCCTGTGCAAGACCTCTTGCTGTGTCCTGCACCAGAGATCAGTGTGGCCTCCTTTTTCTGAGGAAGGATGCTCTTGCTTTCGAGGGAGTGCAGAGAAGGTTTACCAGGCTGATTCCGGGGATGGCGGGACTGACGTATGAGGAGAGATTGACTAGGTTGGGATTGTTTTCGCTGGAGTTCAGACAAATGAGTTGGCGGGGGAGGGGGGGAGGCGGGTGGATCTCATGGAGACTTGTAAAATTCTAACAGGACTGGACAGGGTAAATGCGATGGCCTAGTGGTATTATCACTGGACTGTTAATCCAGAGACCCAGGTAATGTCCTGGGGACCTGGGTTCAAATCCTGCCATGGCAGATGGTGGAATTTGAATTCAGTAAAGTATCTGGAATTAAGAAGGATCTAATGATCACCATGAATCCGTTGTTGATTGTCAGGACGGGGGGAAAAAAAAAAATACCCATTGGGTTCACTAATGACCTTTAGGGAAGGAAACTGCCATCCTTCCCTGGTCTGGGCCTGCATGTGACTCCAGGCCCACAGCAATGTGGTTGACTCTGAACTGCCCTCTGGGCAATTAGGGATGGACAATAAATGCTGCCTGACCAGCGATGCCCTCATCCTGTGAATGAATAAAAGAATAAAGGATGCAGGGAAGATGTTCCTGATGGTAGGTGTGCCCAGAACCAGGGGTCACAGTACGAGGATTCAGGGTAGACCATTTAGGACGGAGATGAGGCGACATTTCTTCATCCAAAGAGTGGTGAGCCTGTGGAATTCATTACCACCGGAAGTAGTTGATGCCAAAACATTGAATGTATTCAGGAGGTGACTAGATATAGCACTTGGGGTGAATGGGATCAAAGGTTATGGGGAGAAAGCAGGATTAGGCTATTGAGTTGGATGATGAATGACGGATGAAGGTCAAAGGGCCAAATGGCCTCCTCCTGCTATGTTTCTATGAAAAGTGTGGGACTGGACGTAATAAACTGACATGAATTGAGAATCAGTTAACAAATGGGAAACAGGAGGAATAAATGGGTCTTTCTGTGACTGGCAAGCAGTGATCATTGGGACCCCTGCTATTCACAATGTATAGCAACGATTTGGATGAGGGAATGAAGTGTAATATTTCCAAGTTTGCTGATGGGATAAAACGGAATGGCAATGTGGCTGGTGAGGAGGTCGTTAAGAGGCTTCAAGGTGGTTGAAACAACTTGGGTGAGGTGGGCAAAGACATGGCACATTTAGTATAACATGGATAAATATGAAGTGATCCACATTGGCAGGAAATAGAATAGCAGTTTTATATTTAAATGGTGGTAGATTGGGAAAAGTTGATGTACAAGGGGACTTGGGTCTCCTTATCAACTAGTCTCGGAGAGCCAGCAGTTATGGAAGGCAAATAGCATGATGTGCTTTATTGTGAGAGGATTTGAGTATCTATCTTAGTGTCATAGGCAATTTTAACCACCATATGTTCAATCCCTTTATCCAAACCATTAATATAAATTGGAAACAGTTAAAGCCACAGCATAATAGACTTGGTCCAAAAAAATGACATATTTATCTGTTACAGAGATAGTAGGAACTGCCGATGCTGGAGAATCTGAGACAACAAGGTGCACAGCTGGATGAACACAGCAGGCCAAGCAGCATCAGAGGAGCAGGAAGGCTGATGTTTTGGAAAAGAAGGGTCCCAACCTGAAACGTCAGCTTTCCTGCTCCTCTGATGCTGCCTGGCCTGCTGTGTTCATCCAGCTCCACACTGTGTTATCTCAGACTCCAGCATCGGCAGTTCTTACCGTCTCTATGAAGTGTCACTGGCTGGGCAGCATTTCTGAACTGCCCTCTGGGCAGTCAACCCCATTGCTGTGGGTCTGGAGTCACATGGACGCCAGATCAGGTAAGGATGGCAGTTTCCTTCCCTAAAGGACATCAGTGAACCAGATGGGTTTTTCCTGACATTTGACAAATGGTCATCATTAGGTGCTTAATTCCAGCTATTTATTGAATTCAAATTCCACCATCTGCCGTGGCGGGATTTGAACCCAGGTCCCCAGAACGTTATCTGGGTCTCTGATTAACAGTCCAGTGATAATACCACTAGATCTTCGCCTCCTATAGTTATCCCTCAACTGACATTAAGAATGCAGGACCAGCTGGAGAAACTCAGCAGGTCTGGAAGCATCTGTGGAGAGAACACAGGAACCAGGAGCAGGAGTAGCCATCTGACCCCTCGAGCCTGCTCCGCCATTTAATAAGATCATGGCTGATCTTTTCATGGACTCAGCTCCACTTACCTGCCCACTCACCATAACCCTTACTTCCTCTACTGTTCAAAAAATTATCTATCTTTGCTTTAAAAACATTCAGTGATGAAGCCTCAACTACTTCACTGGGCAGAGAATTCCTCAAAAGAAGTTGCTCCTCAACCCAGTCCTAAATCTGCTCCCCACTATTTTGAGGCTCTGCCCCCTTGTTCTAGTTTCACCTGCCAGTGAAAACAACCTCCTTGCTTCTATTTTATCTATTCCCTTCATAATTTTATATGTTTCTATAAGATCCCCCCTCATGCTTCTAAAATCCAATGAGTATAATCCCAGACAACAAGGTGCAGAGCTGGATGAACACAGCAGGCTAAGCAGCATCATAGGAGCAGAAAGGCTG